CGCCCCGCCCCGCGCGCTCGCCCGGCGGGCCGTGTTACGGCAAGCAGAAGGGCTCTTTATTGACAAAGCGGCGCAAAACGCGGCCTGTGAACCCATCCCGAGCACAAGGCGGGCCCCGCACACGCCAAGAAAGGCTTGTCAGTCACCGTGTGACGCCGCGGTGCAAGTTCATTTCCCAAGCAAATGCAGTTCTCCCGGCGCCAGCTCTCCACGCCCTGGCTCAGAGCCCCGGCCTCCCCTCTGTTCCCCAGCACTGTGTCCGGAGAAGGGAGCTCGGTCCTGTCCTTTGTGCTATGCCAAGCATCACCCCGGCGCCGAGCAGCGCGCCTGCCACAGGCCTGTGAGGAGTTGCAGGGCCGTTTTACCATCTCACACAGGTGTAAAAGCCTGACCACAAGGATGCCAGCCCAGGGATGCAGCTCACAGCAACGAAAACCCTGTTCTAATGTCACCTCTTTTGTACAGGCTTGAGTCACGGCTAAGAATCACCTGTTCCCAAAGGACACGTAGAGCCCCTGCACAGTCCACCTCAGCACAGCTATTTCTGAGTGCAGTGAGCACCCCTTTGCTGCCATCAGTACAGCCAGAAGCAGCGCAGAAGAGCCAAAGTGCGACAAACGTGCATATAAAGGTGCAGGTGGCTGAGAGCCAGCATTTCTGGACTCCATATTGGCTTAGAGCAAAGTAACCAGCTCCCATCTACAGAGAGCCATAAGAAACTTTTCTGCCTGTCATTTACAGTATTTCATTGTGAGCAGCCCTGGCATCCAACCGAGTGTTTCAGAAGGTCCATATCCCAAGGAATTCACAGCACCATCAGTGATGACTAGGTGCGCTGAGAAACTAGCACCATGCAGAAGGCCATGGAAAGTTTCAAATGCTGTAGAAGGGCAGCAGAAGGGCTCCACATGCTCAAGTCCCACCTGCCTCAATCCCAGCCTTGGATGCTGCTTTCATCAGTCCTTTATGCTGTCCGTAGCAAGATTTTACAGGAGCAGCAGAACATTTGCTTCAGTTTGCAATCCTTCATGCCACCATACTTTGACAAAACTCTCCCACTTAAAAATTAGCTTATCCTATATGGATGCTTTAGGCCACGCTCTTATTTCCTAGGACTGACAGGTCCTAAAGGGGAACCCTGCACGTAAGCCATGATGGCATTCTGCAAGAAGCTTGCTCGTTGGGCCTCTTCTTCCCTCATCCTGGAGATCTCAGCCTCTTTCATTCTCAACCTCTCCAGCAGCATAGAGATTTCACCTTCTTTGTCCAGCAGTGTCTCTCGGTGATTACTTGACAGGGCTGGAAGAGAAGAACAGCATTACTACAGGAAACTGGGGTATTCCTGGAACAAACAGGAATAATATGCTGTAGCAGAGCTAAAGGCAATGGGATCAGGATGAGTGATCATGGGAACATAAGACAATTTCAAGGAGCCCTTAGCTGCATAAGACAATGAGAGAAGTTTTGCACAGACATGTTACACTCCACTGTGCTGGAAATCTAGATATATTACTTGCTGTGCAGATTCGCACTGTTAAATTCTGAGTCTTGCTCTCATAGAATCATAGTCATTATAGTTGGGATCTCTGCAAGCATATCAGGATAAATTCATGGGTGTATGTACAGGCAGAAAGCACTGCTGTCACTGCCTACAAGTATAAACCAGCCTCAGGCCCATTGTAGTGCCCTTTATCTTTTATGCCTGTTAGCTTTTGATAAGGACAACATCCATACACCACCACATATCCATCACCTTTCAGCTGCCTCTCCAGGGCTGCAATCTTCTCTCTAAGCCCTTCTTGTGCTGTGCGTTCAGCCTGCAGGTGTCCAATCTGCTCCTGTAACTCCACTTTTACTTTATTCACCTCTGTCACCTTCTCCTGTTCCTTAATGTTCAGATCCTGGCAAACAAGCACAAATCCATGAATAAACAAACATCAACAAGTGAGAAGCATCTCTATGCTCCAGTCCAAATTACCTGCTGAAGTTCCTCTATCTGCCTTCTGAGTCCATCAGCATGCAGGCTCAACTGATTTGCCTTCGCTTGGACCTCACCAACCACTTCTTTTTGTCTAAGATAACAGTTCTGAGCTTCATCTCTCAACTCGCTCATCAGCCGCAGCTTTTCTTGTAGCTGTTCTAGTCGCTGTTGCTGTAGGACACAAAGGAAAAGAGAGATCTGTCCCCTCCCATTCCTGCAAAAGAATCCTCCTTGTCGCAAACAGCACAGAGTGTCCTTGGTGCAAGGGCAATACATGAGCTGTCAAGTCAACTGACAGCCAAGAGCAAACAAAGGCTTCGTCCTAAGAGATAGGACATGTCTCCCTTGCATTCAGGAGAGAATCTAAGCTGCTACTTATTGCCAGGGGAAAAAAAAATGAGGGAGATGCTGCTAAGCCCAGATCATTCACTGAAAAATCACTCCATATGAGGAAGAACTTCTTCACTGTGAGGGTCAGCGCCCTGGAACAGGCTGCCCAGGGTGGTTCTGGAGTCTCCTTCTCTGGGGGGTCTTCACAACCCGCCTGGATGCCACCCTGTGCCACGTGCTCTAGGTGTCCCTGCTAGACCCGGGGGTTGGACTAAATGATCTCTAGAGGTCCCTTCCAACCTTAACCGGTGATTCTGTGAAAAACAGAGGCACTTCCCCCAGCAGAGCACCAATGCCACCTCTAGGGATGCTACACCTTCATTTCATCCTTATCCTGAATGGCTATGAAACACTGCTGTATGCAAATAAGCAACCGCTGTGTCCCACCACAGGCAAGTACCAGCTCGTATGTATTTGCAACCCTGTATACTTTTTTTTTGGGGGGATGTTATGTATGATAAAAAAATCTAATACAGTTCTTGATGTTTTTTCCACTTTTCCTTTTCTCTTTCCCAGGGTACTGACTTTATTTCCCTTCCCATGAAGTTCAATCCAACAGTGACATATCCTATCCAGCAGTAATAGCCATCTTGGGAAATTTGCTTCAGAATTTGCTTCAGAAAAGTGGCACTGAACACTGCTGATAAACAGAAGGATCCACCTGACTGCTAGCTTCCAAAGCTGGCAGTTAAATGAAACTTGCTAGAAGAGTATCTGCAGCAATTTTGTTACTGCTAGAAAGCACAAAGCAAGTGAGGACAGTATTTAGATTCTGGAGACAATTCAGGCCTTTCAAAACATGCTTTTCAGAGCTTCTTCCTTCTGAATTTATGCAATTTTCAGGACACTGAAATCCAGAGGTGGGAGGTGCTCATCACTTCCCTGAGACAAATGTGTAAGCCAGACAGGCAAATTCACTCCTTCCTGTAAAAGCTGGGCCAACAGATGGTACTTCTTTACCTCCTCCAACCGTGCCTGATTTCGCAGTTTTATTAACTCCTCTTCTGCCTGGCCTCGCTCAGTAAGTGCAGCTGCTCTGACTTGGCTCAGCTCCTGCCAAAAAACACATAAAAAGATCATTCCAGATAGTGAAGCTGCATCACTGCAACACCAACAGTGTCATCACTATCAAAACAGCAGCAGCTTCCCATCATATGCTACAAAGTGACACAGCTCTTACTCGGGGCCAGGGGCGAGGTGAGAAATTAGATATCTTTTCTCACATTGAGATTACCAACTGAACTCAACAAAAGTCTCATCTATAGGTAGGAAAGAAATATGTGAAACTTTCCAAAGACACAGACTTGGGGAGGGCAGCACTGGATTTAGCTAAGGGACAAGATAAGGAGAAAAATGCTACACAACTCACATACGGCACACAGGAAACCTGCAGAATCAAAACGTGGTAGGAGTTTAACTACAGTCAATGGAAAACTAATTTTTGCTCAAACAGAATCTACAAATCTAACTTTTAACCAAGAAATTGAATGCTCCAGTTGCTGTCTTGTTTGTCCCCACAGCACACAAGTCTTTCCATAGGTTAGTAACAGAATAATGCATACTGCATTATTCCTGCTCCTCCTATTAAAATACTGACAGCTTCATTGTGCCACTGCTACCTGACCATTTCAGGATACCTAGAGCATCAACTCCCACCTCCTCCAGAGCTATCCTGATGGCCTCCAGCCTCTGGATCCTCTCTTGCAAAGAACGTTCACTGGCCTCAACATGTTGTGTCATACGATCCACCTGCAAAACAGCAGAAAGCATTTAAGCAAATGCCAGAAAAACAGTACATAATATAGTCCAGGCATAATATAAGGACCATTCATCATGAGAAAGAGCATTCTCTTGTTGAGTCAGCAATCACCAAAAAAAAAAAAAAAAAAAAAAAAAACCTTACCTTTCCCATACAGGTTCACTAGGAAGTTGTCACAAAGATAGAATCAGCTGTCACGGGAGTGACATTAGGACAAGCCTCTTTTGTGGCTTTTACTGCTCTGGTCCACGCTCTTGCAAGCTACCAAGTCTTGCTAGCTGGCAGAACATCGTATCATCTTTTCAGCTAGCTTCTACTTGTAAAAATAGAGAGGTTTCTCTATCTCATGGCCAAAAAAGAAGCTAACTTCAGGAGGCTGCAAAAACTCCATTCTTACCTCTTTTAACCGAAGGGATTCCATGTCTTCAAGGCTTTGTTTAAATTTTTTCTTCTCCACTTCTAAGCGTTCTGCAGATTAAAGACAGGCAGATCACAACTGATCTTCCTCAAACATAAGCTATACATAGGGTACGTTGGATCACAAATCTTTCTACCCTTCATCTTTTGTCTGTCTCTCACCTTGCACCCATGGGTCCCATCCCACTGGCACCCAAGAGTTGCCTCTGCTCCTCCACTCACCCTCAGCCTGCACAGCCCGAAGCTTCAACTCTGCTGTTGTGTTGGTCAAGTCTTGTTTTACATAGAAGAGCTGATCCTGTTGGACTTTGCACTTCTTTTCTAACTCATCCACCTACAAGGAAGTTACCATCATAAAAGAGGAAATTAGCATACCAAGTTGGCTGTCCAGAACAATCAGCAGAGACACAAACAGGGTCAAAGAGAAAGACATATTGAGAGCAGAGGCAACTAGTACTCAAGCCCCACCTCTCAGCCATGGGCTTGCTTTCCTACCTGGTTTCTTAAAAGTAGGTTCTTCTCACTGGCAGCAGACAACTCCCGGAAAAGTTTGCCTTCTCGATCAGCACCTTCCTGCAAACAGAAGCAAAACTGAGAAGAACCTGTCACTCACTTACCTGAGTTCCTGTACTGCCAAACTACCACCTCCAACACCACACTTTAACTCTGACCCAAGCCACAAATACCATGGCTCTCTCTTCACCCAACACTCGCCTATCCAATTTAAACATTTTTTCATATAAACCATGATTAATCCACTAGTGGTAAAATTCATGCTTACCTATCCCACCCAGCATTCTCAAAATCACACACACACACAAAAAAAGGGCATGATACGGCTTGGAATTCAGCTCTTGAATCTAACCAGGACTTATCCAGCCCACCTGTTTTTGCTGCTGGAGCTCCTTAAGGTGGCGCTCAGCCACACTAGTTTGCTCCTGTTTCATGGCACTGACCAGCTCTCCCAAGTTGTGCACCTTCTGCTCAGCCAGAGCCAAGGCAGCTTCAGTCATCTGCAGCCTGCACAGAAAAACACTTTCCAGAGGGTGTTTCCAGAGGGTTTTTTCAGAGGGACACTTCCAATGAGTTCTCCACATCACAGGGTACAAGACATAAACACACATTTGGCAATGGAGAAAATCAGGATGGCTAAATGATGTGTTCTTGACATTGAGAAAAAGAATTTGACAACCTTTGCACCCAGCAGCCTCTGCAAACAGTGAGCTGGGACTTTTCAGAGCTTCATGCTCTGTTACCTCAGCCTGTGTTCCCTGTGCTGTTTTCATGTCTGGACCTTCAAGGACTTACCAATTCTCACAACAGAACAAAACTGATTATATTACACCACTTCCAAGTTATTTAAAATTAGGGATGCAATTTTAAACAGTTTTCAGAAGCGACTTGCTTACTCTCCACATGGGAATAAATACATCCACACCGAAGCATGGCACCAAAAAAGCCTACTTTGAGCTGCCTCAATTGAACTAACCAGTTTTGCCATATGCACATGGCTCAACACAGTCTAACACTACTTTTGGGCAGTTCCAGCTCACTCTTCTCATTGGTCAGGTTTCTTCATATATGCAACGGTCCTCAGAAGATACTGCCAAGTAATGGGTAAAGGAGGTGAACACAATAAACTCTTTCCATCTTGCAAACTGTGCAAGGAACATCTCAGCACTGTCTATAGCACAGAAGGGTGAGACAGCTAGAGATTTTTTCATACTTGGCTTTCAGTGAATTCATAATAGAGTGCTGATCATCCAGTGCTTCCTGCAGCTGGCTGACTCGTGCTGTAGACATCCTGCATTTGGGAAAAAATAAAAAGAAAAAAAAACAAAACACTCCAGTATTCTGCCAGTAGATGGAAAGGGCTCAATCCTGCTACTAAAGAGAAGTTGCCCAGAAAATCAACTCACCTACTGCTCCTGGTTATTTCTTCTCTCTGTTTGTCTATAGTGTCCATCAAATCCAAAAACTGTGAACAGGACAAACATCAGTGAGAAAACGAACAGCATCAGTTTCAAGCTGATACTTGAATTTACATTTCTTATCTTTATCTTCAGATGACTACTGAAAACAGGTAAAGACACTGCTGCAAAAGAAATCAAACTGGAGGCAAAACAGATTCACTCCAGGTCTGATTAAGGTCATGAGCCACAGGAACTCCACACCATTAGGTGTCAGAAGTAAAACAAACTCATATTTATAGCTTTTTCCACTTGAAACACATCAACACAGTTGCAAAAGAAGCAGTGAAAAGCATGAATGCAGGCAAAAAAAAAACCAAACTCATGCAGAATCCAGAATGAATATGCTTGGCATGACATGTCTTCATAACATGTCATGGATTTGATTCTTGGACATTCTAGCTCAGAGAGAGGATCCAATATACTAAATAATGCTGAGTGCCTTCTAAAAGATGAACATTGAAATTCAGGTGCCCAACAGTCCTATCACAGCGTAGTTCGTGAGAACATCAGCAGATAGCACAGGATTCCAGCTGTACCACTTGAACTGCCAGTGTATGAGGAGACTGCTGACCTGCTTTGCCTTCTCATTCTTCAGACTCAGAACCTCCTTGCTGAGCACATGGGTTCGACTGTGGGTCTCATTGAGAATTGTTTGACGGTCTTGGTTGTGATCCAAGGCTTGTTCTGATGCAGAGAGAGCAGGAGATAATGTATATGCTTCTACAGCAACAGAACAGCAAGCATTGCTACAGGACAGTATGACACCTGGCTATCAGAAGCACTGGAAGGGCAGCTTCTTTGAAACTGGCTTGTGTACAGGAGCCATTTTTCACTTTCAGGACATTATTTAGGGGAACTAAAAAGAGCAGCATGCATTGAGTAACCAACACCCCACTTCCATGAAAACAGCTCAGCTCCACTGCAAGTAGGATGACAAAGGACATTAATCAAATACAAACTGACTATTGGCTACTCAGAGGCAAACTAGAGCCCCCAGTTCTTTCAAATTATTTTTTCCTCCTGCTGCTGTAAGTGTCATCTCCTACCTAAACAGCCCTCATTCCAGGGCAAGAGGAAGCTATGCAGGGCAGCACTGCAGATAAGCTATTGAAATAGAGAGCAGAAGAGGGAGGGCTCCCTTTTGAAGTAGTAAATGCCCGACTCTTGAGCACTGAGATGCAGGGGGAGTTACTGATTCTTTCTCATGCAACAAGTAGTGCTTACCCACAGCCTTCAGGATATCGCTGGGAACATTGTTCCCAGCCAGCTCCAGCTTCTTCAGGGTCTTATTGCTGTGCAGGCAGTTCAACAAAGCTCGGCCACCCAAAAGCCCAATATTATTCCAGCGCAAATCTACACAGAAAGCAAATTTTCATCCTGGTAGTCACTTGACATCCACTGAAAGATACAGATATCATCCTCCAAACACATTTGCATGCTCAGCTAACTTATCCTCAAAGGGCTCAGCACAAGCACAAGTGGATGTTATGTCTCCCTTCAAGATGAATCGTGGGGGCAGAATGACTGACAAGGCAGAAAGGGAAAGGATGAGTCTTAAGTGCAGTTATGTGCAGGAAGCTGTCCCAGTTTGACAGGTGAGCAAGTCTTGCACCTCACTTCTTCACCCTGTGAGCCCTCCTTCCACAAAGCACTAAATATGAAACCTGTGGATGATAAATAACCAGCATCATGAGGCATATTTTCCCTGAGAAAATTCCGGTAATTCCTCATTAAGGACAAAGCAAATGTAAAGGAAGTCTCAGAGCCTGACTAGAGATATGCCAAAAGGATTCAGAATGGGAATCAACCTATTCCCTCCTCTGCTAAGAACGGTTCTGCTCCAAGCACATTAACTTCATCTGCAGGTTTTGTTCTAGAGATACCAGTAACAGTTTACTCCTCTCAATGGCCATAGGGCTGTGACCTCCGTTACCTGCACAAAGTCTGCAAAATGGGAAACTGGAATGACAACACCGAGAAGCTTGGAGAGACAAAGGCAGGCTGCAGTCAACTTGAACATATACGTACATTTTTGTGCATGTTTGCAGATGGACAAAATTAGCCACTCTTACCTAGCTCCTGCAGGCTGGCATTTCGTTTCAGTGCCATGGCCAGCTCTCCTGCCCCTTGATGGTTTATCTGGTTGTTGCGCAGATCTAGCCGCTGGAGAAAGTTGTTTGTTGCCAGTCCCTGGCAGAAAAAGGAGAAGCCCTCCTCCCACACGCCCAGGCTGTTCCATTCCAAGATTAAGCTAGGGAAAAATCAGACAGGATTGGAGTTCGTTCTGCAACCTGGCAGTTTTAAGAGCCTGAATAATATCTAGATGGGACATGGTACCTATTCAAGACACCAAGAAGGAAGGGTGCTGCTAAGGCCCACCTGACATTTCTCTTGACCAAGATAAAACACCCTCATCCCTTTCTAATGTTGGCTTCATCTAGCAGGAATAACAGAGGTAGATGCATTTGTTTACCTCCTGATGGACTGATTCTCCCTAAGAAGTTTTCCCAAAGCCTCCGCTCCTACAGTTCGCAGATTATTCCCCTGAAACAAAAGTGATGAGCAATCAGTGTGTTACGCCCTGTCCCAACCAGCTAGCACATCAAACAGCACCAGGCGTAGTTCTGCTGTAATGCAGCAATAACACTCTAGCAAAACAAGACAGCCATGAAAAAACTAGAAACAGGTCAGTTATCAGGCAATTTTGGGACAGCTGTGACATGCTTTAACATGGTGCACAGGAGAAAAGGACCAAGTCACTCAAGAATCGGAAATATACACAGTTACTGCAGCAGAATTTTCTGTTCCAATTCCCATGAAGTTTATGGTTCTATTCCCTTCTCTTCTTGTCTTAAGCTTACCCTAACTCACCTTCAAATCCAAAGATTTGACTGTGGTGTTGGAGCAAAGCCCATTCAACAAAAGTTTGACACCTGGATATGACAAAAAAAAAAAAAAAAAAAAGGCAAGCGGTTTACTTCACGTATGTAATCTGCCAGCATGGGAGGGAAAATTGTAATTTCAGTCAATGAGTTCAGGAGATCTAGCTGTGACAAAGCATCTTACTTATGAGCAGTCAGTTCTCCTGCAAAGTGCAAGTCTGAACCCTAGGGATGGAATTTATATATTTCTAGAAAAAGTGGCACCCAGATGGATAACTGCATCTTATCCTATATACCTGCTTAGCACAGAGGTGAAGATTGCCCAGGTCCAGAGAGAACACGTAGACAAGATCCTTAATGGTTTACTTAGCTTCTAGGACTGACTAGAGAGTCCCCCTATCGTGTCCTAGAGCCCTAGACTGTGTGTGCTGCAGTGAATGACCTGGCGATCAGAATTAGCACATCATCGTTCTAACCCTTGTGGTAAGAGCAGCTGCCACGAAGCCCTTGTGGGCCCAACAATCCTTGAGGGCCGTGGGAAAGTGTCTCCTCAGCCAAGGGGCCCATGAACAGCTGCGATCCAGACTGCTGTCCCCATCTAGCCGTGACCAAAGTCGCCTGGCTGAAGGGAGCAGTGTTGCTTTCAGTCTGTCGCCTTTGCCAGCAGACGGTTCCTGAAGGGCGACGTGTTTTTACTGGTACCAGGCCCGCAGCGCCGGCTCCGCTGGGCAGCAGCCCAGCCCGGGCAACGCCAGCGGGCCCGGCCCCGGGGCCTCCCCGCGCGCTGCCGGCCCCGCGCCTCCGGGCTCGGAGGGCGGCGGGCGGGCGCCGCGGCCAGGGCCGTGTGCGGGCGCCGCGAGCAGCCCGCCGCGCGCCCACCTTCCTCGCTGAGGCCGCAGTCGCCGAGCAGCACCTCGGCGAAGGGCGCGGCGCCGGGCAGCAGCCGCGCCAGGGCGCCGCACGTCTCCAGCGAGAGGCTCTGCGCGGCCAGGTCGAGGCGGGCGCGGCCGGGCTCCCGCAGCCGCCGCAGCACGGCCTCCTGCGGCGCCGCGCACAGCCGCGCGTAGGCCCGACCGAGCTCCTCCATGGCCGCGCCGCGCCCGCCGGCGGAAGCGCCCGCCGCCGCCCCGCCCCCCGCGGCGGCTCCCGGCTCGCCCCGCGCGCCATGGAGGAGCGGGACGGCCGCGCCGGCGGCTTCAGGAAGGTGGGTGCGGGCGGCGCGGGGCGCGCCGGGCGCGGCGCCCCCGCACCGACTCCCTTGTTCTCTGCCTGCAGGAGACGGTGGAGCGGCTGCTCCGCCTCCACTTCCGCGACGGGCGGACCCGAGGTAGCGGGGCGGCGGGGCGGGCCGCGCGCCGGGCGCCGCTCGCCCGCCCTCCACGAGCGCGTTGTCGTTGCAGTGAGCGGCGAGGCGCTGCTGCTGGCGGCGGAGCTGCTCAACGTCTTCGTGCGCGGTGAGCGGGGCCGCGCGGCGGGCGGGGGCGGGAGCGGCCGCCGCGCGCCCGGGCCCCCGGCTCGCGCCCCTCACGCTTCCCGCCGCCGGCACCGCAGAGGCGGCGGCGCGAGCGGCGCGGCAGGCGCAGGGCGAGGAGCTGGACACCGTGGACGTCGAGCACGTGGAGAAGGTGCTGCCGCAGCTGGTAGGTAGAGCCGGCCGGGCCACGGGCTGCCCCCTGCGGCAGGGACCGCCCGGACAGAGCCGCCCGGGGCTGCCGGGCACGGGTTCCTGAGGGCACAGGCCGCTCAAGGCAGCCGCTGCTCTCCTCTTGCAGCTTCTGGACTTCTAGAGACGCAGCTGTGACTGCCGACTGCAAGCAGAGGACACCGCACTGACTGCAGCCAGCTGGAGTGCTATCCTCAGCGCTTAGCCAGAGGAAGGGCAGCATCACTTTCTTCTTTCTCTGACACGCTGTCTCTCTATCCTCTTTCCTCGAACAAGCGTAACAAAATCCTGGGCAACTACCATGGCAGATGCTGATTTTGAGAGATAGCAACCGCATTTATTGTGGTAGCCACCACATTTATTTTGGCAGCCACTATGCAACAGGTTTCCACCTTGCTGCCTCATTCCTGCAAGAGTAGCTTGCACACCACAGCACAGGTAGGGTGCTGTTGCTTTCTTGGCTTATGTGAGAAACAGGTGCTGCTTTGCTGACTTAATGGCTGAAAATGTCACTGAAGGCTCTCGGCACCTCAGCAGGCAGCTAGGGTAGAAACTTTGGGTCTAGTTCCAAGCCTGTCTAATGAAGGGCTTGGTAACAGCCTTTTGGCTGTTGCCAAAAGCAGGTATCTGATCTTTATTTTATAAATAAACAGTGTCTGTTTCTCAATACCTTCCAGTATTTCTTCAGGACTGTGACATCAAAGAATGCTTGGAACCTTTTAACTATTTGATATTCTCTTCAGAAGCTGCTTCCCTCTGCTATAAATTTGTTCTCACAAAGAAACATCAGTAAATCAAAGCCAAGTCTCCTTCCCTTGTGGAAGCTCTTTGCTGCAATTAATCATCGAAAGTCAAGTTGCTTCAAAGACTTGCAGTTTACATACACACACACACACACACCCTCTTTTCTAAATCTTTGTAGGACGAAAGGAAAAAGGACAGAATAACAAACAGCATGTGTGAGAATCCCACATCATGGGACAGGCTGGCCCCTCAGCCAGCAGGGTGGGGGAACTGTGAAATAGGAAACCTTACACATGTAGGCAGGAACTACACATCTTGCTACAGGAAAAGCAGCTGACGTTAGTGTGCCTTAAAGAGTCCATGTTGCATTGGTGGCTATTTGAGGTCTTTATGATTGTTATATATAATATATAAAGCCACAATTTAATACACATTCTTTTTGGTGTCAGTACCAGTTCAAGCAGTTCCCCCATCCCTTTACCCTGCAGCCAAGGTAAATGTTGGTACAATGAAACCAGTGAAAGAACAGGCCCAGTTCAGCCTTGAGCCCCACATCCATACTGGTATCATAGGCAGCAGCAAAAAATACAGGCAATACTATCTTTGAATGCCTAATTACTACCCAAGGGATGAGTCTGGCTACTACAAAAGTAGGATTGAGGGAAATCCAGCTTTTCACATACCTGTGTGTATAGTTCACACAGTGACTTGGGTATGAATCCTTGTAGCAGCTTCCTTAATGAGAAGCCTGCAGTTTTAAATACCAGAACATCTTGCCTCTCTTTTCAAAGAATCCACTCGTTTCTTGCCTTACCAGATTTTAAATTCTCACGTTCTCCACCTATTCTGTCTCTAGTGACACCAATCCATCAAAACTGCTGCCCTAAAAAGGCATGAATTTGCTTTCCTGACATACTTTGCTCACATACCAACATTCTTGCCTGATTGTGATTGCAAATGTAAATGTTAGTGGTTGAGTGCTATTTTAATAGCAGCAGCTAAAACTGACTCTTCCTTGCACAGGGGAAGGGGAATAAGGCCTCTAGTATAGTTGTCAAAGGTAGTAAGTTTCCATTCTACTGAAACAGCAGTGGCTTGCGGCGGGTTTGATGCTTCACTGCCCTATACAAGGGACATGCCTGGGTAGAACAGCCATATGAAGCTGGCTGAAGAAGTCAGAGGTAAAATGTTACTTCCTCATCAGAAACACCATCCCACTGCACAGCTCATTACAGTATCCTTGGAAAAAGCAGCTGTATCTTGATTTTAAAATTATTAGAAAGTTCAATCTGGGAATCCAGTTAAACCCAACATTCTTCCTGCAGCTGCTGCTTTTATCCAGCCACAGCTAAGAAGAAAACGTACCCAAGTTTATTATAGAGCAGTCTCTCTGCTGCGTGAACAGTGGTTATGTCCTGACAGACCAGACATTACTCTCCTTGTCTTCAGCCCTGTACTTAACCCATAAAACTGCTCCAGTAATAATGTTATGTTTATTTTTGTCCCTATTTTCTTCCATTTGCCCATACCAGGTCCTTGCAGGTAGTTATGGTGCTAGCTTGCTACTGCAGCTGTTGGAATCAGAATAGCTAAGTCAATCGGTTATACTCGGTGGTGACTGGGCTCTTCAAAGAACAAGACTAGTACACCTGAAAGTGTAGATCAACTTCCCACCAACTAGACTACTAGGTGTTATTCTAGCCCAGTATATCAAGTACCACTAGTGTGAGTACATAATTGCCTGTCATCAGCTCCGGCTATTTGCTGGCCACAAATGTGTCCTGCGCAAATACAACAAAGCAGCCCTAGCCATGGTCTACCTCTGGCTTCTCTGAGACGAATAAGCCTGATACAGCTTGTATACAAGCCTGAACCAAAATGCAGATAGTGGTCTGAAGGCTTTATCCTCACTTAATCCACTAAAGTAATAAGCTTAGCATTACTTTAATCTTCATTTTGCTGTAGTATGCCTTTCCTAGATAGCTATCACGTTCCAGGAAGCCTTGCTTTCCATAGAAAGGATTATTCAGAGCAGCAGCTGTACACAGTACATTCTCTTGCATTCTCCACTGACAGTGCGTGAACACATTCCCTTTCTTCATATTTGGGTGTCGTATAAGAAATCACTTTTTTTTTTTTTTTTTTTTTTCCTACAGAATTCTGCTCCTTACACTTCGAGTTTCCTAGTTTCCTTTTTCTTCTTCCACCTTTCTTTCATGCTTCTCCCGCCCTCTGAATTTCTTCAAAGCATCTGGTAACATTTGGAAGTAATTAGACCTGAAGGGAAATGCTGGCCAGGCTGTGAGACAATGACAAGTGCCAGGAACCCCGAGTGCCCTTTCTAGCCACTTTGAAGTTCATTCAGATGGTACAAAGCTCCATTTTACTTTGTTGGAAAAAAAATAGGGGGAGAGAATGAGGCATGACAGGCCCAATGAACAGGGAGCAGGTTCCTGTGAACTGATAGAAATACCATAGGGATGAAACGCAGCATCAAAGAGACCGACAAAAGGCCTCCCATGGCCGCTGTGCTTTATTACATCTACTGACCGTGCAGGTGCACACATAGCTTAGGGAACCAGTGACCTCACAGGGAAAATAGAAAACAATTTCTAAGTCTTATGGAAATGTAACATGGAACCCTAAGCATCCAATATGAATCACTAATTCATGGAGAAGATTTCAAATAAAATACATCTTCACAGCCAGTGTGGCACTACAGAGTTCATCTCCAGGGCAGGTACAATTTTAAAAAATAACACTCATCTCTGTATATCTCATGAGACAAAGATCTGCCCCACTGTTCCGGAACTCAATGCACTGCAATAAACTGCCACTCTGCTGTGGAAACACTCAGACCACAGCAGTCGTCAATAAGATGGAAGGTCACACAGAGAGACCCTTTCATGGGATGTTTTTTACTTATTAGAATGGTAATTAATGATATTAATTCTGTGTAATGAAAACAAAACACAGCTTGAGGCATAAAATCTCCATATGCATTCTGTTAACAGGTACCCGTGTTCTTTGTTAACAAGACTGTCGATTGAAAACAGCTAAGTGCAGCAAACCAAGAGATTCACAGAAAAACCCACTTAAACTGTTAGGAATAACCTAAAAGGCACGTTCTTCACCCACTTTTCAGCAATCTATGCCCAGAATTACAGGAGCACTAACCCCAATCAGCAAAGAGGGTTCTTGTTCTAGGCACACTTAGATACAGTAAAATGAAATCAAACTGTATCTTATTGCTAGAGTTCAGGCAGTTAGAACATCTCAAGTTATCTCCAAAGGCAGAACTAGGAAGATCTGAATTTCAAAAAATGGAAGGAGGCAAAATCTTTGACAGAGAATAACTAGTAAATATCTCCCCTCAATTCTCTATTCATATTATCTACATGCAAAAAAAAAAAAAAATCTTTAACTTCTGACTCTGCTTCTATAGTCAGAAGTACTGTAAGACAGGCCTTCACTCTCCAAAAGATGAAGCTGGCAGTTCAAAAACAATTTTCTATTTATAACTCATGTTCATTTAGATTAGGTTTCTCCAGGGCCACCAACAGTTTCTTACAATTCTGAAGTACTTCATCAGGAGAGATGCACAGGTTAATGTTACACTAATCCAGCAGCCAAGAATGTTTCATCTCTTCCCACCTAAAATGCAAACACAGGAGCATTAAAGACTTAAAAGATGTAATCTGCACTGCATAGTTTCTGAATAACTCTTTGCTATACACTGCTGTAAGTAGGCATGAGTTTGGTAGCATGTAGGTGCACTTCTTAGAGAGATGGAATGGTGAATGCAGCATAACTTTCACAGCAGGGAACTCTATCATACAGAAACATGCTATTAACCTTTCGTATCAGCTATTAATGAGTAAGCCAGCTAGCCAGGTAAGAATTTTCTTTTGTACTTTATCCAAATAACCTTTACCAGATAGTTCTCTATTCATAAGTGGAATGTTTCCAACATACTCCCGTTACCGTTTCCCATGTGATTTGCATGAGTATCCCAGAGCTAGTCTAAAGTAGATCAGTCACAGCAGAGAACAGACTGCAGTGTTCCAGCAATCATTTCACACCTTATGCTGCACCCGCTGGAGCTGTGTCCACAGCTAGAACCACAGTGTTTTCCAAGAATCAAATATTACAATTCTCAATCAAGAAGTGAACATTTGGCATTGTTAGCCATGAAATTCCAAGTAGTTCTTCCCACTTCTACTGCTGTAGGGGGTTGATTTTGCTTTTTTTAATTCTGCTGCTGCATCGAAAAATGAATATTGACAATCACTTCATTCTAAAATTTTTCTAGTTACTTTATATTTTATGCAGCAGATGACAAATTTAACAGATGACAAGGGCCCCTCATAAGCAGAGCCTGATGTGTCTTTTTTGAGCTACACTGGCCTAATTAAGACTCTAGAACATTACATGATTTCAAACATGTGGATTAGTCAGACTCAGCACGGAACCAGTATTCAGATTTTTTTCCAATTAAGGAGGAGCTTCAAGTCACAAATGATTTTTAACTGGTGACTGCTCAATTCCATGCCCTGCAAGCCTCCCACTGACACCTACAACTGGGATGCCAACATTCTCAGCATCCAACACATATGACACTGAGAAATCAGCCTTCCTGGGGGTTTACTAGGAGAACAACTCTCCTCCAATCTCATATGGTACCTGGCAGCTTCAGCCATTTGGGTATCTTCCCAGGGGCCTTGCTTATGCGCTGTGGAACTTCACGTACTGTTGCTGGTTCTGGCTGCTCATTGGTCTTTTTTTCACTTCCCCCTTCTGGCTCAGTCAGGGAAGGCACTGCTGATTCTAAAGACGATGAAGCAGAAGGAAGTACTGATTTGGACAAATATCTGGAGAAAAAAAAAAGTAATAAGAATTAAACTTTTTTTTTTTTTTTTTTTCATAATAGGCCCCATATATCACCATCTCTACATGGTCAAGGTCAGATTGATAAAACTCTTAATTCTCATTGTCAAAGGCTCTAGGATTTACTTGATTTAGTCACTGCAATCCTACTTCACAAGGAATTCACAAAGTATATTTGTAAACCATGACTGCATGAAGGAGAAATTAAATCCCCAGCACCTTCATATCATGTCTCTTTCTAGTAAGATAGGCTAATTTCATTCTTTTTCTCCCTGAAATATTCACAATTAGACCCAAATTGTGGTCACTCCCAACATACCTGGCTATTAATAAATCAGCTGCAGAAGGGGAAACTACAGAGCACAGAAGGTCCGACTTCAGGTAACAATCTGTTTAAAATGAAACTCAATGAAATCTGAAGGCTTGTTAAGTAAGATAAACACATACATCACCAGGGAATCACGTAGCTCTAGGCTCAGCAAATGCCTACAATATACTTCAGTAAATCTTCATCTTCCCCTAACTGAGAAACAGGATGCTTTCAAATGATGCCATTTTTTTTTAAACAACTCAAGCTGCCTATTTCATCATTCGAAACCCAACATTTTGACATTTTCTTTCAGTGGTCACTACATCTAAATCTATTCTAAGAAGTTTTCTATTCTCTCTAGGAGAAACAGTGATTCTGAACATAAACCAGAGGTGTCAGAATAAGAGATTCATATCTGTCCTCCCATTTCCAGTTAGCCCACTACAACAGCAGGTCAGTAAAGACTTCATAGTCATGTATCTAGTTAACACTTTGAACAATGGCATTTTCTTCTAGAGAGCTGTTCCTCTATCACGTCCATTGTAGATAGTGTATATTTTTTAGCCTAAAACATTTCACAAGAAAGCTTCTAGCTTTACGTTTTATCAAGCAAACTGATGTCAAATCCATTCTCATCAGGACCAAGCAAGTTTTCAGCAATTCAGAATGGAAATGTCTATCAACATTCTCAGGGTCTCTTATCTCTTGCTAGAAGAAATCTGGAGGGAAGAATGTAATTCTTCTGAGTCTACTGTAGCAGCTGTGTAGCCACCTGAAGAAGATGGGAACCTCACTCACCCCTGCTCTTCTGAGATCCAAAATGAATGACAGCAGTGGGAAAGAGTTTAGCCTGCAGCAAAGGGAAAAAAAATAAAAGAGAGATCATAGGAAGTAGATGCTTCCACAGTCAACTGGTGACAAGCTAGAGAGCTACGGACAAATTTATAGAGCTTAAGATCAGGTCACTGAACCATCTATAATTCAGAAAAGTATAAACTTTTCCACAGCACAGGGCATGCCAATTAAGATGAGAAATTCCACCATACAGATTATAACACTCATAGAACAGTGATCCTTGTGCCAATAACCTGTGTTTTCCTCTACCCCCCTATGTAAGACTGAGTGGCTAAAAGAGAAAAAAGACCTTATAACACTCTTGCCATTACAGACCACCAGGCAGGTTGAGGTTGGAAAGGTCCTCTGCAAGTTGGCTAGTCCATTCCTCCATCTAGGGCTGGAGGAAATGGAGACTCCACAACCTGTCCATGTAACCTGTTCTACTGTTTGACCTCTCAAAACTCAAATAAATAATTAAAGCTTTCTCTTATATTTAAATGTGTTTTCTTGCATTTCAGTGTGTGTCCATTTCTTCTTATCCTGTCACTGCTACCACCAAGAAAAAATGCAGGTCTGTCTTCTCTTCTGCCTCCCATCAGATACTTAAGTAAACTGGTAAGATTCCTTTCAACCTCCTCTTCTCAAGGTTGAACGATCCCAGCTCTCAGCCTCTCCCCATATATCAGATGCCACAGTTCCTTAAACATACCTGGCCCTTCACTGGACACCAGAGAAATCACCATGTAAAGCTGCAGTGAATTTAACTGCAAATAAGCTGGAAGGGCAACTACCAACAAAACTTGCTCTGCCACTGTAGTGCTTACAGAACAGCACTGCAGCCTCAAAGAGACTGAGGAAGCAGAAAAACTGGTGTTGGAGCTAAGTGATAAATTAGACAGTACTAAATCACCCAATCCAGATGGTATATCCAAGTGGTATATCCAAGGAACTACAGAGTAAGAGATTCAGAATTAAGCTTCTCATTAAAAACAGACATTGCTGTGAGCACAGGCTTATATTTTAAAAACAGTTTGAAGGTGATATGCGGAAGATGAATAGGGTATGGTCTAACCAGCATGAATTCTGAAAGAAAAGTCATATCAAACTTATTACTGAAATTATTTTAACATGTCAGTATAATATTGCATAAAGCAGAACTAGGTTAAAAAATAAGTTTAAAGTTTTCAGAAGACCTTATATATGCAGACTAGTAAGAAAGCTAAATCATGTTGTTAAAGTAGTGTCAAAATGTAAAAACTGTAAGAGTGATCGAAAATGTTGTTTAATGGTCTATATTTATCCTGACAAAACAATACTAGGGTTTTGTTCTCGAACAAACAAGAAAATCCCTGTTCTTTTCAGAACATCAATATATATGTGAGCATTTTGCACGGCAGGCCGTCTGCTCTTGCTTTCCTCAAGCCTCCATTGCTACCAGCACATCAAGATACTTGAGCTGATGAGCTTTGAATTTGATGCCACCAAGCAGCTACCAGACTGCAGGGCACAACTCAGCTCAACAGAAGCACTGGGGAGTGTGCGGAGACTAATAAAATTGTATTAACTGGTGGCAAAACAGAATAGCTTCACCTATCCTCCTAACTACGACTTTCAAATAAATATGCAATATTACAACTTTGGGGACATTAATTGAAAGAGTGTAGGAGACTTTCACATAGAGAAGGCCCTACGTGTTGTTGCACCGAAGCAGGAGACACACACCCACCAGTCTGCCTCGCACCTCAGCTCCTGCCTAACTGGACACGAATTTTCACATCCTTGAACCAACATCTTAGCAGCAGAAATCATTATTTATTGAGTCTTTTAACATTTCCTTCCCCAAGCAACAGGGCCTAAGGTTGCCTGCTAGTCACAAAGACAGCTCTACATAAACTTTTTTAATTAAAAAGCACCAGACACGGTTTAGAAACCCCAGTGAAAACTCTCGCAAGACCTTTGATGTTTCCGCTACATTCGACTGAAGGGATCCCTCTATTTGGGAAATGGGTGACTTAAAAAGGAACCCCCCACACAAACCCCCTCCCCAAACACACATACACTCAGGCCCCTTTACACACAACATCCTTTTCATGCCAGCTGCAAGTTGGAAAATGAGGTTTTTGTAGTGTGTTAGTGTTGGAATTTTTTAATAACCTCCCCTCTCTCTTTTTCTTCTCCTGCCCAATTATCTTGGTAAATAATTAACATTCTGAAGAAGATAACTAAGCACAGCAATGCAGAGCTCAAAGCCTTTCAGTACAAAGCCCTACCCTTTTCTCTTCATTTCCCTGTTGCCGCCGTTAAAACTTCCTTGTCAATCAGGGTCTGGGCACACACATCAAAGTTCCATGTGGGAACGGCCCCAAGGGGTCAGAGAAAATTCATGGCAGGGCCTGTGTGAGGCACAAAAAGAAAGAGGGAGATGCACAGAGTGAAAGCGAGCCGCACACTCAGCCACACAGGCAGAACGTGCCCCACTATAGGGCTCTACCCTATTTACTCATAAGTTGACTAATAAACCTAGTTCTGCAGCTCAGACTCCACCTCTACAACCACTTCCCACCACTGGCAAATCATCAGTCCAAACACTTCACTCCATAATCTTTTAATTGAAAGAAATTTAAAGGAGCCAGAGAGCAGCTCACAAGGACCCAGTGCGCAGCCTCCTGCCCAGGGCTCATTCTCTCCATCCCTATCCTTCCCTAGGGTTCAGCCAAGGCATAGGCCCTTCTCACAATGTTTCCATCCAGTGAGCTTCTCTTCCTCAATTCAGATCAAATATTGGGTCATTTTTGCAATCTCTTGCCTCATTTCTTGTGTGCAGAATTCTCAGATTATCGTTCCCATTTCAGCTTTTACTGAGGTTTCAGTACAGGAGACAGATATATCCCAGCTGATCTATCCCAGGAATTCTCCATCCAACCACTGGCAGGACGCACACTGTTTGAGATTTTTTTTTGCAATATAAAAATATTTAAATCAACACCAACTTCACATGAAAAAGAAAACCAAGTGGAATAAGCCCACTGACCAAGAATGTCTTGGCATAAAGATGAGAAGGTTTCAGTGTGTGCACAGTCCAGGAAAATATACAACTCTGAGTTTGGAGCCTTCAGAATCCTCTAGTAGTGCTAAATATGCAAGACTCAAATATTGAAAAGAATATTTTCTGAAAACTGTGTTTTCAAGCCAGCTACTATTTCTTCATTTGCAGTTGCTCTATTGCATGTGCTGCAAAAAAAACCATCATGAAGATTTGAACATATATAGGATTCTTAGAGGATGAAAGTATGTGTGCCTCAAAAGAGAGTTAGAAACCTCTTACAGTCACACTGGCACTGCTAGATTGGAGATTTTTGAACATATGTTTCAAACAGTTTGCACTTCATCGGTCAGTTACATGTAAAGAATTACTACAATATGAATGAGTCCACTGTTCGTTACAATACTCAAATATTGAGCATTTCTCTCCCTTTTTGCTTTAATTTCTAGCCCCAAGTAAAATGTCATTCTGACTAAGAAAATGGATACTATTAATTCATGGCAGTGAAATGTTCAAATTGCACTGTGCAAGGTATATTTCTTATATATACATCTTTTTTTGCAACAACACCTAGAAACACAATTGAAAAATGGTGTCCCACTGTACAATTATGTACACAATGAGAAGCAAATCACAACACAAAATCAATGGCAAATGTGAGAAAATATGATTTTGTTTTGTTTTTACAGATGAAGAACCGAGATCTAAAGAGGTTAAATAACTTGCTCAAGGTCATACAGGAAGACAGTAGCAGAAATGAGAAATAAGTACAAGCTTCCAGAGACCCATCCCAGACCTTAATCACAGGATAGTTTTTTTCTGAAGAGATCAGAAAGTTGCTGATGAGGCAAGATATGGAGGAAGCCAATGACTGGCTTACTTTCTTCCCCATTCAAGCGATACCAGTCCAAACAACCAATTCCACAGGTTTTAAAAAGATCTCCATAACACTGCTTCATCACTTTGGTTACAGCTAAATCAGTTTAAATGAAAGCCTCCCATTTGGGGCCCCCAGTCTAAAGACCTGCCTGTTACTCATAAAGCCACATTTAGTTTGAAACTGCATAGCTATTTAACTCAAGGTTTTATTTCAGACACTCAGAGTGAAGTTACTCAGACACCACCGTGGTGAGCGTGGTTTATGACAGCAGGGCATCCTGGTTGTAGAGTGGTATATTGGGTCTACTGGATCTTGCATTCCATGATAAAAATAACTATATTAGAACAACATTTTACTGCGAGTCCAGCTGTGACTCACAAGAGAAACATTTCTGCTTTGTTTTATTGCATGTTTTAGTAACTTGTTCTCCAGAGCACAAAAAAGATTTCAGGCAGTAGCCTCCCCAAACAATGTCACAATACTTCCTCCTTCACTAGGCATCTCCAGACACACATATCAAAGAAGCTCTAGAAGAGAACAGTGGAAAACATATACATTATTACCATGCAGTTACTCTGCTCACTAACAGAATGATGCTTTAACTCAGCCAGAGTTTATAGTCTAGGGGGGAACTTGCAGCTGCCAGAGTGAGAAGCATTCTTTCCGTTACATGATCTGAAAAGATTAGAGTGCCACAGGTCTGCTGTTAGTTTGAAGTTAAAAGATGAATAAGAAAATAAGCACTTCAAAGGAACATGCTCATGGATGGAGAAACTCAAGCTACCAACATGAAATACTGCATAGTACACACTCCAAACACATAAACTAGCACTTGGAAAATTCAACCGGAAAGCCAGTGGATCAAAAGCTTCAGCAACAAGACCGCAAAGCATCTCTGAAACAGAAATAAACATTACAGTCATAGTGAAAGGGAGCAAACTAAGTGGCTCTTGTTTACAACCTGAGAACAAAGTTTCTCAATGAGGACAGCAACTGCTGAGGAAGATGGATATTCTGTAGCTAATTCAGAGGAAACCTGATCCAAGCGGACTAGGGGACCTTTAAAGAATTTGCAAGGTTAAAGGTAAGA